TTTCAGCTTGGTGGTGGCTATCTTTTTGGATTGCCTGTGGGCTTCGTTGCAGATTCTATTGGTGCAACTCTTGGTGCAGGAGCGGCGTTCCTTATTGGCAGAACGGTATGTTAATTGTTTTATTATGTGATTCTTAATGTTGTCTTATTACTTTACCATCCATGGACAAAAGCAACTTATTGATATGTTCAATATCGTTTTCTTACTAAACTTAGTCGCTTTATATTTTCTTCAGTTTCATATTTATTAGTTCTAGCATGTCTCGTTCAATTTTCATCTTATTATGTTGTTCTTATACAGATTGGGAGTTCATTTGTTGTTTCTAAGTTAAAAGATTATCCTCAGTTCCGTTCAATTGCAATTGCAATACGAAGATCTGGCTTTAAGGTTTGTAATATTCTTGTTAGTTTCTAAAGGATAACTTGTTTTGTGATCTATCTTTAAGTCTATTAGATTTAATCTATTTGATAAGATTCGGCTTAAATCATTCTAATTGCATCAGAACGAGTTAATATATGTGATTATATCTTTGACTTAATGAAAACGCCATTAGACAAACAGTGGGAAAAAAACAAATTTTCTCTTATTCCAAGGGTTGAAAAGTTCGAGGAACTTCGAATTAATAGAAGAAAACTGTCTTCTCAGGCTTTCAGTAAGTGATGTTTCGGATTATCTAGTTAAAAATGTTACTTGTTATTTCTCCATATGGGTATATATCTCATGCTACGTTCAAGCATTTTTGCTCATTGAATCCATTTTCTGTGGTTTCGAGTTCTGGAGGGTTGTATTTTGTCAAGAAAAACTGAAACTACTATTTAAAATTTGCCTGATGGTTCTTTATTTATTGTTTGAAAAACTGACAGATCTAAAAATTTTCATCTGTTGGACAGATCGTTTTCCTGCTTCGACTTGTACCCTTACTCCCATTCAACATGATGAATTATCTGTTGTCAGTGACTCCGATTCCAGTTCTAGAATACATGCTGGCCTCCTGGTTAGGAATGATGGTATTTGCATCTCAATTTACTATCATTTTCTGCTTATTATTTCCAAGAATTTCAGCTTGTTATTTATTTTTGTTTCAGTTTTTGGTGGTTTTGTCATCTTCAGATTTAACACTGTGAATGGTGTTTGTTACAGCCAATAACCCTTGCTTTAGTTTATGTCGGAACAACTCTTAAGGATCTTTCTGATGTGACACATGGATGGAGCGAGTTTTCGACTACACGTTGGGTAAGTCTTGTTTTTTATCTTTGAATGCACGAGTTTTCAACAGTGATTCACTGATCAACATAAACCGAAACCTGGGGTGGATTTTCATTTTTATATTTGTCATTCCTAATTAGGACAATGAAGATGCTTTACTTGCTTCATCTCAATTCTGTCTAGTGTTCTTATCACCCATATTTGCTTGATGAATGCAGGCATTTCTCATAATGGGCCTTTCTGTGTCTGGTAAGCTACAAAGCACTGAATAATACTTTTAAGCCATAATTTTTCTGTGTTATTGAAACTCGGATTAACATACGGTATGTGTTCAGCATGGGAATGTTTAAACTTTCGTTAAAATATTTTTTAACGGATTTGGTGGATATTTATTTTGCGCTAGAGTCGGATACAAAAAAATTACGAAATGAATCCTAGTGACATAGATAAAGTGATTAGGATATGCTAGATGATCCGCATGAAAATGATTTACTCACCTTTATTTTGTTAGTACTTCAATTTAAGAATAAACAAATAGTCAAGAAAAATACCAGGTATTTACACGAAACTGCAGCTATGTAACTGAGCTATATCCTGTGTTTTTACAGTTTGGACCTTTTTGACCTCCATGTATTTAATTTTATGCAGTGGTTTTAATAATTTGTGTGACCAGAGTAGCCAAATCGGCTCTAGATAAAGCCTTGGCTGAAAATGAGGATATCGATAGCATCGTAGGCTCGCCGCAGTTGCCAATTGTGGGTGAAGCACCCGGAAATCTCCACGAGCCTCTTATAATTAAGATAGACAGAAGCGATGATACTCATGAAAAATGAAGTAAAATTTCCTGTAAATTCCCGTCTCCTTTCTTATATGCCACATTGTGGTTCACATTAATTTGCATGTTCTAGTTTTCCATAGAAATAGTTGATTACACCATTGAGATATTGCTGAGAATAAGCCATTTAAGTTTAGGTTGCTGAATGAAAGTCAACGAAACGAGTGAGATATTGTTGAGAGTATTCTCTGTTGTAGAGCTCGCTTCTCAATTTGGGTTGCTTATAATCGACTCCGATATGATTGTTCGATATCTGAGGTTGGTATGCTTAACTTTTCTAAGGGCGTTTTTTTTAGGTATTTATGGAATTCTTGAAGTTTAATACCTCTAAAGTTATGTTCAAGTACGTATTGGTATGGATATGTTGAATGGAAGGCCGGAGAAGCCCTTTTATTATTATTATAGACTTGTGGAATCTACAACACCTTATTGTTGTCTTTGTTAATCCAAAAATCTTATTAGGTAAGGGTGTGGAGGCATAGAATGATTTTATTTGGGGTTTTCCATTGAAGACAAGGAAAGTGAGTACTAAAATAAACCAAAACTTTTATTAGGACAATTACAAATTTACCTTCCAAAGATTGCACAAATAGTCATTTTGGCCCATGTTTTGGAGCAGTTTAGCCCTCGATGATGTAATTTTTGATCAATACATTTTGGTGTGGTACGTGCCACTTAGATGATTAAACACATGTGAAAATTCTACGATAGAAATATGTGTTGGCTAACAATTTCTATCCAACAGAGCTTGTTTTAACCAGAAATTGAAATGTTAAGGATTAAAATGTTTTAAAAAGGAATACGGATGAAGTGATTATTTGTGCAATCATTAGGAGTATTTTTGTTATTATGTTTTTATTATTATGTTTTTAATTTTCATGTCATTTCCTCTTTCATTTTCTATCCAAAATTAATATTTAACCCCTATAATCTTTAAATTAAAAATTAAATTATTTTTAACTTTATTTCAGAATTATTTTATCTCTGCCAAAGGTCCTTCGCAAATAAACTTATCGTGCCTAGCCAGTAGCCACCATTGGAGAACTTTGAAGCATCTTCGAACGTTCGGAGAAAATATAATTTTAATATATCTTTATTTTATAAAATATTAATATCAATATTTTATAAAATAAATAATATTAGAGAATAAAGATATATTAATTATTAAATGATTTATAACATAATTAATAAAATATACTAATATATATTAATATAAAAATATATTTTTTAATATATGTTATTAATTTGGTTTGGTTGTTGAGCATTGAACACATAACATGTGGTATGCATATATTGCATCGAATATATGAGAATAAATTTGTCAAATATATTACTCCTATATGTTATCAATGTAATCGAATGATATATTTCCCGTTATTATTTTGAAAATGTGGCATATATTATGTGATGACTTATGTACACGCGATATATCACATCAAAAATTTAAACATAAAATTTATCGTGTTAATAACGAATGTTAATCAATTAATAGCTTTATCTAAACTGTGACTATTTTGACCCAAAATAAAACCGTTGAGATTAAAGCACTTCAAAAAGAATAATGATCATTCAATCAAACATGGGCAAAAATGTTGAGATGAAGCTTTGAAAAAAAGAAAAGCTGATATGAGAGTGAAAAAAAATATTTTTTTTTGAAGTAAGGTGAAATGAACAGTAAAGGGGATAAGTCGACCGGAACACTCGACGTTTTTGAGAAATCAATTAAAACGGCCGACGTTTTTAAAATCTTCATCTACGACAACTAGGTTTTTTTGGCTAGCCATAGAGATAACTTTCATGAAAACATCTCACCAGAGATGAACAACTTGAAGATGGAGAGTAATTGCAGTAGAGAGGGAGGCCAACCAGAGAGATAACTTTCATGAAAAAAAGTTATATTTTCAATACCCATGTCATCCATTTCTTTTTCAAATCATTACGCTGGCACTTTTGTCATCAAGAGATGAATTTTATTATTATACCAAAAAAAAAAAAATCAATTCCATAATACTACATGGCGAATTTGAATCATGCGTAAAAAATGTAATTTTCCGAATAATTGAAAATATATTTTTTTATAAATATTTTAAAAAGTATCAAAATATATGTAAAAGTATTTGATAAAAAAGTGCTTAGATTATATTTTTTTAATTTAGTGTTTAAACCTTTTCATGATTAATTCAGATGTCAAATATCATCAACGTTATCATTTTAAGTATATGGTTTGTCACAACTGTTAAAAATACCGTTAACTGAGAAGATCCGCATTTGTAAATTCAAATTTTTTTCTCAATTTTATAAACGTGATACATGTCAGATATTGACTTTTTTTAATGTATGTTATGACTAGAGTACTTAAAATAATAACATTAGTGACATTAAACAAATGCTATTAATCGAAAAAAATTTAGATAACTAAATAAAAAAATAACTAATCAAGCACATTAGGTCAACCAACCAAGTTGTGTGTCTTTATTACCTTATATTTTCTTAGGTTATGACTTCTAAATCTACTAAGCCTTTTTTTTTTAGAATCTCCCCTTCACCTCTTCTCTGAGTAGGTTTAAAATTATCTTTAAAATTTATAAAGAAAAAAAGAATAAACAATATATTTACCATTTAACTATTCATTAAACTATATATTTACCACTTAATTATTTATCCTTTTTACTTTTACTATCGATCTTCTAATTTTTCTCAATCAGACTATCTAACTATTAAATTACAGTCAATCAAATTACAAAATTAATAAAATTAAAAGATCAATTATAAAAATAAAAGAGTTAAATAATTACGTGGTTAACTAATATAGTTTACCTAAAGAAAAAAGATATAGTTTGAGATTTTTTATATGTTAAAGCTTTAAAAAAAATAACTGCAATCTAGAAAGCGAAAACGTCAATAATGAACTAGAGCCGGGAATTTGCGTTGGTTCACCAAACCGGGAAATTTTCTTCTTCTTCTTCTCTCTCTCTCTCTCCCCCCCACCCCAAACATGGGTATCTCATGGAGCAACACAGGCAATAGCAACAGGAGACGAAACCAAAGTTACCTCCATGTCCCTCCTCCTCCACCTTTCTATTTCCCCCAAGAACCCTCTTCCCATCCTCTTCCGCCACCGCCACCGCCTGCTCCGCCTTCAACTAGCCACCCTTACCCGTCTGTTTCCCAGAACCCTTATTCCACACACCCTCCACCCCTACCGCCTCCAATTCCCAACAATTACTACTGTTCCCCACCCTTCAATCCCTGCTGTTACTCAAACCCTGTAATGGGTCGTTACCCTAGTCAATACCCTCCGTATTTCGCCAACCAGACTAGTTCATGGCCCGCGATTCGTGCTCATGCCATGGTGGCGGCGGCGCCTCAACCACCGCCTCCTTATGTGGAGCATCAGAATGCTAAGAAAGTCAGGAATGATGTGAACGTGCATAAGGATACATTGAAGCTCGAAGTAGACGAGCAAAACCCCGATCATCACTTGGTTTCTTTCGTTTTTGATGCCTTGTTTGATGGCAGGTAAAAAGCTACCATTTAATTTTTTTTTTTTTTCAGATCAATTTTGGGTCTGGTTGAAGCTCTTTTTAGAGGTCAAATTGAAGATGGACTTATTTCAAGGTTTATTATATTTTTTTTAGATGAAAAAATTTCAATGAAATGAAAACTGAAATCCTTCTTTGTTTGATGTGAAAGACAAAATTGGCATTATAGGAACTGTTTTTTAGGTCATTAAATGATAAAGAAAGATAGGGAATTAGATAATGTAATAGGATCTGGATGTTATATGGATTTCAAATTATTGCTTTTAATTTCATTGCAATCAATAGTGAACTAACCAAATCTGAAGGATTAAGAATCTGCAGTAGTTACCATTCTACTAGTTAGAGGCACTGTTGCTATATGAATTAGCAACCTAGCTGAGGCATGATGCATCATATTTTATGAACAAATGAATTTTCTTATTAGAGTTTGGAATTGTGTATTTGGTTATTGATTTTTTAGCTTTAACTTATCAATCTACGAGTGAAAGAATCATATACGCATTAGGGACTATGAAAACTATATTAGTGAATGGGGATTGCAATTGGAAGGTTTTCTCTTTAAAGTCCCTTTGTAATTGAAATGTGTAATCCAGCATAGGAGATAAAAGTTGACATTGCCTTCTTTTCGGAACATCAATCAATGGACGAATTGTAGCCGTTTAAATGAACCCTGGGAACAACCACGTAGCCTGCTGGGAACAGCCTAGAAGCCTTCCTTAGCTTGATAACTAGAACAAAGATAAAAGATAATGATGTGGTTAGGAAAAAAAACAGCAGTAATCAAAAGAAATAAGGCTTTGAACATACGGGTAGGGAAGAAGATGGAACTCAAGAAAAACCTAGGGTTAAAGGAAACACCTCTAGGTTTAAAACATAAAGGAAACTTATAATCTTTCATTCAAAATATCTCTAATATTTAATAAAGTTGAAGTAAATAAATATTATAATGATCTTATGAATCTAAATTCTTATAAGATTATCAGAATCTAATTTCTTTTACAGTATTCTTCAAGTTGGGAAAAAATGAACTTTACCTTCTTGTCCACTAACTTCTTGAATGCTAGCAAGTGCTCTCGTAAGTAGATCGCCAATTTGTCATGTTGTTGGCACATAGACCATACAAATGGTAACTCATCTACTTCCTCCTTTATAAAGTAACTTTCCACTTCAACATGCTTTGTTCTATAATGGTGCATAGGATTATGTGAGATACTATGCTTTGTTCTATAATGGTGCATAGGATTATGTGAGATACTAATCATTATCGCAATGTTATTTTCACGGTAAAGTTTTAGGTTGATTCTTCTTGACCTTCAATTCCTCAAATAGCATTTTCAACCATAGTAACTGTAGGAATTATAGAGATATATGAGTTGTTATCATTCCTTCAATTAAGGGATTCTGTAAATAGTTTTCTACAATCCCTTATTTTAAGGGATCATATCTCCTAGGATTAGTATATTTCCTTACTTAGAGTTTCCTAATTTAGAGAGATAATTTGTATATAAAGATGTAATCTGTCATATTGAAAATATGAAGTAAATACAGAGAATTACTCTAATTTCTACATGGTATCAGATTAGCTTACGGTTTCTTTCCAACTTAGACGATGTCTACAACTTCTTCTCCTACTCTGGAGATCACTTCAAATCCAGAAAATCTTTCTGGTTCTGATGCTCAATCAGAAGGAAATTTGGTCATGAAAGAACCAAAAGGTAACCATTATGCTACAGTTTTTTTCTCCTCCCAGTTGACCCCTATTTAGATCCTCGATTCTGGTGCTACGGATCATATGACTGGTAACAAGGATTTGTTTTGTAATTTTTTCCCAACTTTGGTAAAGCTGTCAAAACGACTGATGGTTCCTTGTGCAAAATAGAAGGACATGTCATTGTTATTCTCAATAAACAGATTGCACTTAAAAATGTCCTCTTTGTACCAAATCTGGCTTGCAATCTCGTTTCAGTTAGTAAACTTTCCATTGACTTGTTCTGCTCTGCAACTTTTACTGATATTGATTGTACTTTACAGGCAATGAACTCGAAGAAGATGATTGGTAAGGTCAACTTGTAGAATGATTTCTATATTCTTCCTGCCTCCTATAATCGAAATCTCGAAATCTTTCACCGCTTTAGAAAAAATTGATAATGTTATGTTATGACACTATCGTTTAGACCATCCTAGTTTCCACTATATTGCAAAAGTTTTTCCTGCTCTATTCATTCATAAAAGGCCAAATTCTTTTTCTTGCAAAGTTTGGTCTCTTGCCAAACATACTAAATCATCTTATTCTCTTTCTACATACAAGCTTTCTCAACCTTTTGCTTTGATCCACAGTGATATTTGGGGCCCTTCTTGGGTGAAGAAGCTGATAATTGTAAGTGGTTTATCACTTTAATTGATGATCACAGTAGGATGACTTGGATTTATTTGCTAAAAGATAAATCTAAAACTGCTAGTGTTTTTGCCCAATTTTATAACATGGTTCTCACTCAATTTGGGTCTAAAATTCAGCTCTTTAAATCTGATAATGGTAGTTAATTTTTTTGTTAAGTCTTTGGGTATTCTTTTAGGGAAAAAGACATAGTTCAACTTAGTTCTTGTGTTGGAACCCCACAGCAAAACGGCATTGTTGAAAGAAAAAATAGACACCTCCTTGAAGTTACCCTTCTCTTCTATTTACCACTAATGTTCCAAAATATTTGTGGGGAAGCCTTATTAACTGCCACATTTAATCAACCGATTGTCTAGTAAGGTTTTACAATTTCAAACACCTCAATCTATATTTTTGCAATACTTTCCCCATTTTAAACCTTTCTCCTCCATTTTGCCACTTAAAATCTTTGGTTGTACTGTTTTTATCCAAAACATTGCTCTTAATAAGTCCAAGTTAGATCCTAAATCGTTAAAGTGTGTACTGGTTGGGTATTCTTCACTTAAGAAGGGTTATAAATGCTACCATCCTCCTTCTAAACAATTTTTTACCACTATGGATGTAACATTTTATGAGCAGGATCCCTATTTTACTCGAGCTGAAATTCAGGGGAGACATGGAAGGATTTTCAGCCACATCAAGTATCTCATCATAGTCTTCATTATCAACCTTCAGAATTGCCACCAATTTTGTCTTTACCTACAGATTTGTCACCTGTAACTACTCATTGATTCATCTGAAGTACCTATCACTACTTCACCCACATCTACTCTAAACACCCTTCCTGAAAATACACCTACTCCCATTCAAAATCTTCCACAAACAACACCAATCAAACAACTTCGTGTCTATACAAGGAAAAGAAAACATATTCCTGAGGTTGTTTTGCAATCTGATTCTTGCCGAGAATTGAATTTGGGTCTAGCTGTTGAAATAAAAGAAGAAATCAGTAAGTCCACTTCCCCTACTCTAAATGACTTCCCTATTGCTATAAGAAAAGGGGTTAGACAGTGCACCAAGCATCCTATTGAAAAATTTGCTTGTTATAATTCATTGATGCCTTCTTTTCAAGCATTTACAAGAACCTTGGATAAAGACTAGGTTCCCACAAGCATAGCTAAAGCTCTGAAGGATTCTAAATGAAAGAAGGGTTGTTGAAGAGGAAATTTGTGCACTAGAGAAAAATGCTACTTGGACCGTTACAGACCTTCCTCAAGGAAAAAAGGTTGTTGGGTGTAAATGGATCTTTGCTGTAAAGTATAACTCCATTGTTAGTATCCAACGATACAAAGCTAGACTAGTGGCCAGAGGCTTTACACAAACATATGAGAGAGATTTCACAGAAACTTTTGCACCTGTGGCGAAGTTGAATACTATTCGAGTACTCCTAAGTTTGGCTGTAAATTGTGATTGGCAATTACACCAACTTGATGTAAAAAATGCTTTTCTTAATGGCAACCTAGAAGAAGAAGTCTATATGAAATTGTCACCTGGCTTAAGGTCTGTTGAAGGTAGCAACATGGTTTGCAAGCTCAACAAGTCTCTGTACGGGTTAAAACAATCACCCAGAGCTTGGTTCAAGAGGTTCAATAAAGTCATTTTGAAAAACGGCTACAAGCAGTCCCTCGCCGATCATACTTTTTTCATCAAGGTAACTTCTAAAAATAAGAAAGTTATCCTTTTTGTGTACTTGGACGACATAATTCTTACCGTAGATGAAGAAAAAGAGATTTGCAATTTGAAGAAGTTGTTAAATAAGGAATTCGAAACCAAGGACTTGGGAAAGCTAAGGTATTTCCTAGGAATGGAGGTGGCAAGGTCAAAAGAAGGCTTTGCCAAAGCCTGTTTTCAATAAATTCCTATTCAACCTGGGATTATACACTGTATATTCTCCAGCTTAAGGGGGAGTGTAGGAATTATAGATATATATGAGTTGTTATCATTCCTTTAGTTAAGGGATTATGTAAATAGTTTTCTACAATTCCTTATTTTAAGGGATCATATCTCCTAGGATTAGTATTTTTCCTTAGAGTTTTCTAATTTAGAGAGATAATTTGTATATAAAGATGTAATATGTCCTATTGAAAATATGAAGTAAATACAGAGAATTACTCTGATTTCTACATTAACACACTAATTCCTTGAACTACTTCTTTCAAACTTGATTTTAAACTGATTTAGTCAACAAAAATCTGTTTTTAAATCACTAGATTACCCCAAAGAAGCATACCATAATTATAAGGTTGACCTTCTATCGTCAACAGAACTGGTACAGTCGGCCTTTGTAAATGCTTCAACACTCTTTGCTCCATTCCTTTTTTAAAAAAATTATAGTATAGATACTTTCCAAGAGTCCCCTTGAGAAGCTTTAAGATTCTATAAACAATATCCATGTGTTCCTTGTGGGGAGGATATGAACTAACAAGTCGGACTATAAAGGCAATATGAGGCCAAGTGCAGGATAAATAAATGTGCTTTCTCACTACACACCTATACTTACTTTATTAACTGATCTATAACTCGTTGATCCCACAATTTTGAATTTTGATTAATTGGCTTGCAACATAGCATTACATTCTGTTATACTTTCATTGAGAAAAGAATATACATCTTGTTCCTTGCGACCTCCATTCTTAGGAACTACTTTGGAGTTACTAGGTGTTTCATCTTAAATTTAGTAGCAAGTGACGTATTTAGCCTCCACATCTCTTTCATGTCATGCCTTGCTAATATTATATCAACAACATCTATAATAAGAATCAGCAGCGCAACTTCTTTATGTGTATGGAACAAGGTATGATTAGAGTCTGCTCGACTATATCCTTGTGTCAATTTACCCGAGTAAATTTTTCAGACTAGGTTTATGAGTCATGGAGACTATTAACCCATACAGAGATTTTTCCAGATTACAAACTCTTTCCTTTCTTCCATCTTAATTGATGCGGTAGGTCTGTCATGTTCACCTCTTCTTTTTGTCAATTTCTGAGTTCTTAAATTCAAACATTTGAGCAGAAACTTCCAGATCCGAAGATCCTCATTTGAAATCCTCCCAAAGGTTTTCTGTTGATGTATAGTAAAGATGATACTCCTGATGTTATCATCTATTGAATTCGCAAGCCACACCTAGCATATAGGATTAAAATTTAGCTTGTTACGTGACTACCATCAAGATAGCCCAATCAGTCTCTTTTGAACAGAGTCTGACCATTGAAGATAGTTTTTTTCCTGTTGAGTTTATAAACATTGATTGGGATTGATGAGTTCTCTGCAATTATAGTCGGAGCAATTGTATTGGTAGGATACTTGCTCCATTCATGGCTATTTTGGCCATTGTTTTTCTCAATATACCAAACTTGGATGCCACATAAATTTGTATAGGAGATAAAACTAAACATTGCCTTTACTTCAGAATCTTAATCAAAGGGATGAATTACTGCGCCCTTTAAATAAACTTTAAAACAATTATTAGAAACCGTCTCAAGATAGGACCCTTAAATTATCTTTGATAAGGTTGCAACTTGCAAGTATCTTAAACCGTATAAGTTCTCTCTAAAGTCTGATACATGATTAGAATCCAAAATCTGCTACTAATTTTTTTACAAAAATTCTTTGGAATTGAGCCTAGGGAACTTTACAATGAAGAGCTTTGGTTGCCAGTGAAAGGCCTGTAGTTCAGAATGCACAGTTTTATCCTATGATACTCGGACTCTCCAAAAATCAGGAAATACCCATGCTGACAGGACACGACCCTGCATAGGATCTGGGATCTGTGTCTAACAAGGAAAAAACTTTGGCCTCTTCTTCATCACATGATCAGCACCTAAATATAAATCCACAAGATATCTCTAGACTAGTTACCATCATGGGAATTTCAGAGAGAGGAAGAACTAGAAATCAATGGGTCAAGAAAAAGAAAGGGAAAGCGAAATTGAGAAAATATAAGGGGAAATAAGGGACAGGGCTTCCTCTCAGTTGCCCATCAAGAGGAGAGAGGAGCGCATCAAGTCTGAAACTTTTGTTTTGCTGCTTTCCTTTAATTTTTAACCTTTTAGTCTGCTGTGCTTCAAAGAGAGAAGAAGAGTTTTAAACTTGGCTTTTGAACCTTAAGCCCATAGGTTCAATTTCTTCTATTTTTGAGTAAACCTTAATCTCACAATTGATTATAATCTTTATATCTTGGGCTCAACAGAAAATAAGTAACCTGAGTTTGCATAAAACATGCTTTTCTAGCTCATTTTACTTGAATAATTAGTTAATTCTCAAAATTATATAATTTTGTACTTAACTGTATATATTAGTCTCAACGAACTATATAATATACTGAAATACACATAAACGAGTCCCTGCACCTGTATCATTCTCTTTGACCCTTTTTTGTCCTATCCCTGTGTCTTAAGATCTAGGCAGCTGATGAGTCAAACATCTAGACACGCACCCGACACCTGTATCCTAGTATGAGTAACATAGTTTTTATCCCGTATGAAGCAAATACCACATGGGCGTTACTTGCTAGTCTAGTTTTCAGGACTATAACTGTCTGGTATGCAAATTCTATTGATACTTTTACCTAACTGTGTTGCTTTTCTAATGTACAGTATCACCATTTTCTACTTTGCAAAGGAAGAGCTGAATTGTAGATTTGTTCCCGTATTTTCTGAAGCCTATGAGCCTGTGAGAGTCCCATTTCAGAAGGGACTAGGCCAAAAATTCCAGCAGCCTCCTGGAACAGGAATCGACCTAGGTTTCTTTGAATTAGATGATCTCTCAAAACCATCACCAGGGGAAGATGTTTTCCCTCTTGTAATTTCTGCTGAAACATGTATGCTGCCTCATTCATCAGACAAGCATGTTGATGCTCCTGAACAAAGTACATCTTCCCACATGCAAATTACTCAAGCCATTCTGGAGAAGAACAGTAACACTTTCCAAGTGAAAGTGATTCGGCAGATATTATGGGTTGATGGAGTTCGCTATGAACTACGTGAGATATATGGAATAGGAAGCTCAGCAGCAGCAGAAGGCTTTGATGATAGTGACCCAGGCAAAGAGTGTGTTATTTGCATGACTGAACCTAAGGATACCGCAGTTCTACCTTGCCGCCACATGGTAAGAATTTCCCATATTCCTTGAATATAATGCATGCCGAGCATCAGTCCAATATAATGGTTTAAAATTAGCACTTACATAACTCGTGGAATAGTCATTAAAATCTATGCTGCTGAGCCTTCTTTTTTCTTGAAGTATTAGCTTTTTCGGACATATTTATGGAGATATAATCCTTCAAAGATCTTCAAATACATGGAAACTTTGAAAAATATTAAACATATCTATGTCTGACATTCACATTCGAGTCCCAGTAGCATAGATTAAAATGATATGGAAGCAGTCTCAAGCATGGGTGTTTGCCAAACTTGGATGTTGTAGGAGCAGATATGTATTTTACTAAAGTGATTGGATTATTGTTCTGCTATTACGTGGGTTCCACATTGCATTCACTATACCGTCTTATCCTCAAAACATGATTGTCTATTATTGTTTGTGCACATGCATTCTATCTATGAGAGAGTGTGATGATTGGGGATGAAATAATTTACTTTGATTTTGTCTGGAATTGGAGCTTCTTTATTGGTTACCATGGAAAATATCAGCACTAAAATTACCATGGGGATGTGATCCTCCTAATACTTCCAAATACAAAATAAAAAAAATAGATAAAAGAACTCAAATAATCTGAACATATGCTCACACTAGAGTCTGAGTAACATGAGGAATTTTGTGATTTGAAATTGTCTGAAGTTGTTGCTAGGTTACTTTTTTTTAACAACTTAGTAAAAGTGAAAAGAATTTGATTAATGAGTATTTGGAAACTTCTAAATCTTTGTATTATTAGAAGCTAGGATACCTGTGTTTGTATATTTTCCCAGATTATAATTTTTCAAGCTCTACTAAATTCTCAAGTGAAATGTTTTGCTTCAGTGTATGTGTAGTGAATGTGCTAAAGCTTTGAGGCTTCAGTCAAACAAATGTCCAATATGCCGTCAACCTATCGAAGAACTTATAGAAATCAAGATAAATAATGATCGCTAAAAAGTTCTATTCCTACAAAGTTTGATTGTACGGTACGACATCCTTCTTCGTGATCTTGATCTAATTCACAATTATTTTGTATATTTCATCTTCACATTCTTCATAGTCTTTTTCATATGTTGTGAAATTCAGACCCCAGATTTACTATATGTCCCGTTTTAAGAGCGATTTGTATAAACCAGTTGAGTTAAATCTCAGATTTCTCTTGTGAACTCTTTTTGAAGTACACTTTCTTTGGAGTATTTGTGTAAACTAATGGAGTTAGATCTCATATTTCTCGTGTACTGTCTAAAGTACACTCTCTAGATATTATATATATGTAAAGCTTGCATATGTTGGAAGTTAACTCTCTCTCTCTTTCCCACTTTTTATTTTTGGTTTTCCGCTTTTGGAAGCAATGTATATTAGTGAAGTGAATAATATAATGATTTTTTCTTCCAAGTTTGCTGCTTGAAAGCTTTGAAGTTTGTGAAAGAATATGGGAGAACAATGTAAAGTGTTCAAACTCCTCTTTGTTCTTTGTTACACTTTTTTGAGTAATGCCTTGCATAAATTGTTGCCCTTGTTTGAGAGTACAGGTGCTCATCGGTTGGGTGAATTAAGTATTTAGTCATCCAACTATTCGCACGGTTTCGTTTTGGTCACCCAACTATTTTTTTTTCTTTTCAAAATCATATCTAACTTTATGTTTTAGTTTCATTTTGTTCACATCTCATTAAAATATTAACGGTTGATGTGTCACCATAAGGTAATATCATGTCATCATTAAAAAAAATGACACATCAGTAGTTCTGTTTATTTTAATGGTGGGTGATCAAAATGAAATTAAAACGTAATTATAAGTATGATTTTGGGAGAAAAAATAGTTAAGTGACCAAAATGAAACCGTGTGAATAGTTGAGTTGGGTGACTAAATACCTAGTTTACCCTTAAGATATTAATCCATGTTCACTTGGCTTGAATTATGAATGATCTTGTCCAAGGCCTGGCTTGAGCCTTAGGTTGGATCTACCGAGCTGGACATGTGTTCTTTTTCATTTTTATTTTCCAAAAAGGTTAGAAAAGATGAGGTGCAAATGGTATGTGTTGGATAGACATTCATGAGCTTTTAAGTTCTAATGTCTGGGAATATCTTTGTCTCTTGACTTTTGGAGAGAAAATCAGGGAATACAACTTGGGAAAAAAAGGGGAAAATTCTGTGGTCTCAGCTTTTAATCGAACCTGTATGATCATAAATCTGTAGCCTCAGCTTTCAGTAGTGTACAATGATTCAGTGTTTCAGCTTTTTGACAAAATCTCATTATGTGTGATTTTGATATGAATGTTATAAATACAAAAAGCAAAGAAATTATAAATATTGAATTTTGAATCATAAGTTTAATTTTAAAAGAATGCTATTCAAAATAACAAGTAGTTGATCCCAGCATATTTACACCCACTGTGTGTTATTTAAGACATTCATATTAAGTTCTGACTATCGAGGTTGAGACAATTAGTTCTCTCAACATTTAGGTTGGGTTTAGGGTTTAGGATTTAATCTGAGCAGATATTCTCGTTTGGTTTTAAAAAATAATTTTTAATTTTTATTATTAGATTTTTAAAATTTGGAAAATGCATTTAATCAATAGAAATAAAAGCTTATTTTTAAAAATAAAAATATTAAAAAAATTCAATAAAAAATAAAATAAAATAAAATAAAATAAAATATAATTAAATTAAATATAATTAATACAAAATAAATTATTAATTTCATTAAATATAATTATAAGAAAAACGTTATGATAATGATACAAAATAAAATACTATAATTTTAGCAAACCGAAGCTTTAAAATTGATAAAAAAAAAATTAAAAAATGATTAATTTATAAAAGTAATACATCTTTTATTATTTAGGTGAATGGTAAGTTTATTTAAAAATAATAATATTCTCTTCATAAAGGTGCATCATGTAAATACTTTTATATTTTGTAGGGTATGATGTATCACGTTTTCTAAGTAGGATTTCAACGTTTGTGTCATCTAAGATTAAAATAAAAGAAATAAAATAATGAATAAAATTATATGAATTTCATTCAAAAAGAAATAATACGCGCAATACATGTTAAATACAGACATTTATATAAGCATGAATTGGTCGAACGTCGATGACACAAGTGTATAGATTTTGTTTTCAATCACTCATTAAAGGCATGCTTAAAATGCTATTTGAACGCATGAAAAAACTTATATATAAACAATATCAGATTTGTAACCCTTAGACCTGGCCTGGACGTTATGCCCAAATCTAAGCGGTTACATATCGTATTCAGAAATTCTTTTTATATTTAAAACAACGTTAAAATCCATATAACAATATAATATGAAAACTAGCCATAAGAAAGGTCCATACGATAAACATAATATATATATATATATATATACATATATCAGAAAATCATATAAAATATATATAAAACAAAATACCGGTAATACAGATATATGGAGACGGTAGCAAAAACAAGTGTCACCAAAGTATAACAAAAAGGCATATAGAGATATAAAGTGGTACAAAAATAGGAGTAGTCGGTCCTCCTGATGCCAAGTTTGCTAGTCTACGATCTACTACTGTCCGAAAATGTTAAAATTTATCTAATGAGCTAAAAAAACCTAGTGTGCTCCTTACAGTGTATAAAAACATACTGATAAAATACTTTGATAAAAATCAGTTTATCAAACATGTTTTAAAAATATGAACACTACCCCCATTCTATCATCAGAATGTGTAGATTCCCCAGAACCATACACTCACTGGTACACCCGGTAAGGTCCTTATTACTTATAGCATAAGGACGTGCAGTAAGGACTTACCATGTGTACAAAGCAAAGGAGCCTGCGGTAAGGTCTTTCAAGCCATAGACTAGGAATGATATACTTACTCTATTAATACACCCAATGACAGAAATAAACATGTATGTATTCAAGTGAAAACATTAGTTTAATCCATTAAAACACGAAAATGTTCCATACTCATAAATCAGATACAAAAATACAGTAATCAGATATCATAGCATAAATATAAATCAAATATCAGATAAACAATATTTAGAAAATCAGGTATCATCTTATAAAAATATTGAGTATCATTAGAAATCTAAAACAATTCAGATGAATAGTTTAAAACAGTAATATAACACCATCAAGAGACACACTTGTATCGGTCTAAGTAGTCTGATAGGAAAGCCTACTACTGAGTCTTTTGATCACGATCAACGGCAATGTTAGATCCTATGAATCGAAAAATTTATATTGGAATCCTAATACGAATAATAATAACCTCTATTTAAACAACTTACAGAAACCTACAAGTAACTCTCAAAGAACGCGAATCGAGCAGATCTGACAGACGTGAAGCACGGGATCTAATCGACACTCGGTCGGGTGAAACACAAGTACCTTCATAAAAATATTTTCTTGAATCAATTTCATAATCAAATCTTAAATAAATAAGCAAAAATGTTAAAAAAATACTAAGCCTTTTTGAATTAACGGGCTCCATTCAAGATTTTCAGGTCAGAATTTGGTAAAACATATCACAAAATCAGATTCAAAACATCAAAAAAGTCAATATGAAGGTTTTCGGGAAAAAAAGTCAACGATCAACAATCAACTATCGGTCAATGGTTGATCGGTTCGGATTGGGTTGGACCGGGTCGAGTCGGACAGGTGGGTGGTCGAGCAGGCGGGTCGGATCGGGTCAGCCTGTTTCTGATTTGGGTATAAATTTAACTGAATATTTAAAATTTCAATTTAGTCTTTGGAAAATTTAAAAAAATTAGGCTCTAATTTGGGGTGTGACAACTTTCCCCCATTAAAAGAAATTTTATCCTCGAAATTTACCTGAAGGAAATATATGTGAAAACTGAGCCTCCATCAACCTAATTCTATGGACTGACCTATGGGACTCTAAACTGTCACCGATCTCTCAGTATTCTCAACGGGGATATTAAGGTTCCGAGAAATGGAATGCGACACATAAGAATGGGTAGATCCATTATCAAACAAGGCAAAGTAGGGAACTAAATGAATAGTAATAGCACCTACAATCACATCAGGCTCATCACAGTCCTATCAACGTCTAGCAGCGTAAACCAATGAAGGATGTCTAGCCTCAGATCTAACTGGATCCCTACTCTAAGAATATCATCCTCTACTAGCTAATTCTGATGCTCTCTCCTGACTACGGCCCCCTGCTGGAGTTTGAACTATACTATGAGTACGAGCGGGAGTACGAGCTGGTGTCTAAAATGTAGGAGCTGGCTCTAGACAATCCCTCAGGAGATGGTCACTGAAACTACATCTAAAACAGGTAACCAACTTCTTCTTGTATTCGCCAAAATGAAGTCTCCCACAGTGCTCATATGATGACAAAGGTTGTGATACAGAAGAACCAACCTTAATAGAAGGCATCATGACTGATGAACCTGATGCCTTAAGCCTGGCATTCACACCGGCTCTCTGAGTAGACTCACCCCTTCCTCTTTTGTTGGGACGTGCAGAAGAGTTAACAGAACTAGAAGGCCTCCTAAATTGGTCACTCTCTATTTCTCCTATGTTTCATACCCACTCGCTCTATCTCCTCAGCGGTCTTAGCTATCTTAACCAAGGCATCAAACTTCTTCTTCCGGTGGGTAGCAACTCGACTACTGATCTTATACCTGAGTCCATTCTCAAACCTTAAGCACCGATCCAATTCAGTGTCAACTAGTCTAATAGCATAACAACTCAATCTAATAAACTCAATCTCATAATCCATAACAGATATATCACCATGCTCCAAATTCTGAAACTCTTGGTGTCGCTCCTACAAGTACCTCTCTCCGATGTAACGACTTCGAAAACGTACCTTGAAAATATCTCAATTCAGTTGATTCCCTGAAATACTACCGAAATCGATTGTCACTATCTAAAACTCTATTTCTTTAGCATAGTTAGGGCTCCCTTTAACTTATGTTCATACCTCAAATCCATCTCATCCATAACCCTCTCTGTATCCTCCAACCAATACTCAGCGTCAATCAGTGGTCCACCAACAATGCCCTTAAACGGAACTACTCTAGCAGCTACCAAAGACTTCAAAATCTCAACAGCAGACATATTACCAGGGACTTTAGCAGCTCTCCGAAACATACGAAAGATAGCTTTATTAATGGCATCCTCATCCAAAACAATGTCCTCGTCCTCAGTGACAAGAGAGTCTCTCGCAGGTGTAACTGGATCATCACGAGAAATAGACGGATCTACATGCGAAACAAAAGGATCTCGTGGTGATATCGGATCGTCTATCGTAATAGAAGGCCAAGTCGCTCGTCCTCGACCATGGCCACGGATTGGCCTAGATCTCTAGCAGTACTCATCGGATAAATCTAAGTCTCTACAAAAAGAATTTGAACCTAAGTT